TCAGGCCCCTACATTATGTCTGATTTGATTCGTCTCTGCAGTTCTTCGAATTCACCTTCCTCAAGCCCCCTCGCGACAGGGCCTTAGTGATAGCCAACTAGGCTCCTCATCAACGGACGGAGCCTGTCAACAGAGGGGTTCTGCCATACCCCCCCTCTCCCGCCCCCCTATGGGGCTTCTTAATCCTAGACCCTCAGTGCGGGTTTCGTAATCGTAGGGAGATCCGAAATAAGATAGGGTCTAAACCCTAAACCCTAAACCCGAAACTCTAAATCCTAAACCCTAAACCCTGTTCTAAGTCTTAAGGCCCATTACCTTTCCGCAGCCCTCCACGTAGCCTGCCCGGAGCTCCTCGCCAGTCACGTTTCCTAAGATCGGCGAGTTTGCGGGCCATTCGGGATCTGAGGGGTTAGGGTTTAGGGTTTAGTTTAGGGTTTGGGGTTTGGGGTTTAGGGTTTAGGGTTTAGGGTTTAGGGTTTAGGGGTTTAGGGGTTGGGGCTAGGGTTTAGTTAGGAGCCCTTGGGGCTGAGGGATTTAGGGGTGTTCGGACAGGGTTTTTTTGGGGGGCTCGTTCTTATAACTATACTAGAATATACCCCCAAACCCTGTTCTAATTATCAAGGCCCTTCTCTTAGGATGTTCTTGTGGGAAGTTGCATGCTTGAGGTCCAGGGAGCTGGAATATGGGGCTTGAGGGGGGGAATGTTCGACGCAGCCTTTACGGGAGTTGCTGCGGCTACAAAGCTTTTTTTGCGTTGGGGTTCAGTTGGTTCTGAACCCTCGGCATTTTGAGGCTTGATGTTTTTTGCAAAAGATTCCTAAGTCTTCCAGTTCCGGAAATACCTGCGACAGAGCGGCCGTCGCCACTGGAGTCAATCTTCTTGAAGAGGTCGCTGGCCCGAAGCCTCCGAAAAGCCGTAATGTAGGAACCTGATTAAGAAACCCTGGGCCTTTATGAGGGTCCTTAGTATGAACCCTAACATATTGGGGTTATAGGGCCAGGGTTTCTTAATCAGGCTCCTACAGTAGCTGAGGATTCGTGCGCATTGCTTAGGTTTCGGGCCTGCGACCCTCAAGCCCAAACCCCTAAACCCCTAAACCCTAAACCCCTAAATTTTAGAGGCTGCGCCTTGTTTTGAACGGACTTTACGTTCAGGGCTGAAGGCCTCTGAGACCTTAAGGAAGTGGGGTTTAGGGGTTTAGGGTTTAGGGGTTTAGGGTTTAGGGGGGTTAGGGATAAGGGGTTTAGGGTTTAGGGGCTTAGGGGCTTCGGGTTTAGGGGTTTAGGGGTTTAAGATACCTGAAGTTACACGGCGATCCTTACTAGGGGCTACGGCATGTTAAGCGTTTCTGGATCAGAGCGTGGAGCTTAAGGTTCTGCGGAGAAGCCTCCGACAGGCCAAAACTGCTCGCGAAACTCCGAAGACGCTCGTTTCAAGGGTGCTGCAAAGCTTTTTGTGGGTGTGAGGGGGGTGTCAGACGGGCTCTATCAGGTGCTATAATGCCATGTTCTGGGTTTGGGGGACGCTTCAGGGAATCTATGATTTCGTGGTGGCTCGGCTTAGTCTGGGGAGGTTGGCCATAAGTCCTGGACCCCGAACCCGTTGAGTTTTCTCACAGCCTCTTCTTCTTGAGGAGGTCCGCAACGCTCTTCATCAGCTCCTCCCAGCAAAACTGATGAGCCGCCATGAAACCTTTCGCTTGATAGTTGCGCGTTGCTGTTCACCGGCAAACCCTAAATTAAAGGAATCTACAGGTCGGGAGTGTTGGGTATATAGGGCTTCTATTACTGTCTGGTGCTTGGTAGAGAATGGGGGAATGGGTTATAGGGACGACTATAAGGGACCTTAGGGGACTATCATAGGGATCCATTCCCCCATTCCCTACGAAGCACCAGACAGATTAGGCTCCTATGAGGTGTATAGACCTTCTACAAGGCTCCTACAACGGTAGCTACCCACCTGAAAATGTCCTAGACCAAACCTCAAACTCTTTACATCTTCAACCCTAACCATATGCTCTCAACCCCAGAACCCCCCCACCCTAAATCTTGAACCTGAGTCCCTACACCGTTCTTAACCGTTAGAATAGGATTCTTGACTTGGGTGTATATTCTACTATACTTGTATTGAGGAGCCCCAACGACTCGTACTACTAACTACTCAAGCTTCTATCTTCGAAAGCTGCAAAGAAACCATAAAAGCCATATCAGGAAAGCCTGCAAGCTTGGCCCCTAGACGCAAATCCAAATCCCTAAACCCTAAACCATAACCCCTAAGCCCTAAAGCTAAACCTTAACCCCAAACCCTGACCCATGAAGCCTCAACCCCAAAACCATAAACCCGAAACCCGAACCCTATCAAACCCTAAAAGGGCCTCAACCCCACTCTCTAAACCGCAACCATACTAGGAGGATCATGGGACTTAGTAAGTAAGGTTATAAGTCTCTTAATTGGGGTTATAAGTATAGTTACCTTAGTTATAACCCTACTTACTACGTCCCATGTTCTTTTAAGCACCCTGTTCAGGCCCCCCGACAGAAGCCCCGGAACGGCCGAGGCGCGCGACGATGAAGTTGAGGATGATATTCTGCCCCAGATCCAGCAAGATCACCAACTGGGCATCGGGGAAGTATGGTCATCTTCACAATAGTAGACTGGGGTTTGGGATACATGATAGGGTAAATATGTGATTATACTGTAGAACTCGTAACGTATAGCATGCTTCATGATCACCAACTGCGTAGTGCGCAGAGTGGAAAAATTACCAGTTCAAGCTTCGCATGTGGAATTCAGTGCGCGGTGCTTCAGGTTCGGGATTTGGACTTCAGCCGTCCCCGGAGTGGTGCGGAATTTAGGGCTTTGCGGCCTCAGTGATTGTGCTTCGGCGCTCTGACATAGGGTTTATGGTCTTGGCAATTCCAGTCCAATCGTCTTGCTGGCAAGCTTCCTGAAGCTTAACCGGCTTGAACCCTCAATCAAAACAGCCCAAAAGCCTTTTGTAATAGGGTCTTTGGGCCCAAAAGCCTTAATAATAATAATAATAACAATAATAGTACTAATGATAGTAATCATAATAATAATAATGATAGTAATATGTGAGTCCTTTGAGGGTCAGTTTTAGATCTGACCGCCCTCAATGCCAGGGCTAAACGCCAAATCCAAACTCGTGATCGCCAAGCTAAGCCCTGGCCTGCGAGTGACAGCTCCTGTTGGGTTTGGGATCTACACCCGAAACCCTCAACCCCTGAGCCCTAACCCCTAAACCCTAAATCCAGGGTTTAGGGCTCAGGGTTTAGGGCTTGGGGTTCAGGGGAGTTTGGGGGAATTTCGAGCTCAAGGCTTTCAGGTTCAGGAAGCACCCATTAAGGGTTCCTCTAACGGCTTACTATACGGGCTAGGGGTTCAATATGGGGGCCTAGACCTTAGATACTAGGGTTGATGATATAAATCCTGCATTACCCACCATAAGGAATATACCATACTTCCGATAGTTTAGGGTCCTTAATGTAATGCAGGATATCATCAACTGTATAGCTCTAACACTACCGAACCCTAAGTCCAAGCTTGAAACCATGGGCCCCTAGTATGGGCCGTTAATCCTGGGATCCTTATACACCTACTATATACCCTATATGTACCCTTAAGGGTCCCTAGACTTGTGTAAGGGGTTGGCCATATTAGGGGCCCATACTTCTAACCTAGACTAAGGACTGCACATTCCTCAGGCCAAGAACCCAAACCATGAATTCTAAGCCCTAAGATTCAGAGTTCAGGAAGGCCCTAAACCCCAAACCCTAAACCCCAAACCCTAAATTCTAAGCCCTAAGATTCAGAGTTCAGGAAGGCGAGCTTAGGGTTCGGTGATCTTAAAGCTTAGGGTTCAGAGCCGGTTCAGGGACTGTAAAGCTTATAGGGCTCAGGGATTTAAAGTTTAGGGTTCAGGGTTTCGGGTTTAGGGTTCAGGGTTCAGGGCTTTCAAGTTCGGGGTTTAGGCTCTACACAAGATGAAAGGGTTTCGCATGCAGTCTTTTTCACTCGGCGCAGTCATCCTTCCACCCAGGGAGCCCAATACCCCCTTCGTGAAGTAAGATGCCACCCTAAACCTAAACCCTAAAGCCCTAAACCGTAAACCCTAACCCTAAACCCTAAACCCCTAAACCGTAACCTAAACCCAGGAAACCATGGTACCGATCCATGTGCTGTCTATGGCATGTTCCTGCTTGGGCTCCCTGGCCACCTTCCACATGCTGGTACAGCTCCCGGGCTCAACTGTGACCTGACCTAACACCCTATTTAGGGTTTAGGGTTTAGACTCTAGACCATGTTCCTAAACTTACACAACTAAACGCCTAGACCCTTACACCTACCAACATCCAACTACACTTGTCATGACGTTTGCGTCTGGGTCCACCTTAGATCGCAACAGTCCCAAAGCAACAGCCCAATCCCCAAATCTTAAACACCAGCACCTGTAACCTCCGAATCCCCTCATATCACGGCGTAAATGACAAGAATAATGTTCGGGGGTTATATATTATAGTAAACTGACAAAAACGAGCCCTTACTGACACGATTAAATGCTCCGACCACCCCCCCCCCCCCCCCCCGAAAGTAAATCCTGTAGAACTCCGGTGCCCAACACTAAAGAAGTTTGGCAGATCCGAAGAGGGTATGGACCAAAAGGCATGTAAAGTGTCAGGTCTAGGGTCTATTGGGTTTGGGATCCGTCTCTGTGGGGTGTAGGCATGTACAAGCACATCGTTTGGGCTTTATCCCTAAACCCGTTTAGGATTGGGGGTGCAAGGCTTGGGATTTCCGGGTTCGGGGGTGGGCTTCGCCGGAGGTGGTCTAGCATATAAAAGGACCAAGAAAGTTTAAACTTCAAAGACCCTTGCGAGTCAGGCTCCATCCTGAACCCTAAACCCTAAA